TGAGGGCGTTCCCGATCAGGTAGATGTGCATGTGGGACACCAGGTTAGAGCAGTAGGGGCCCACCAGAACGCCCATTAGCAGGAAGCCTGTGATCTGAGGCAGTGCTCCCCTGGATAGCACGGGGAAGTAACCGCCCAGCTGCTTCGAGGCGCTCGCGGCGATCGCGAAGGCCACCAGCGCGTCGCGCAAGTCGCGCAGCTTATTGCCAAAGAGAGTGGCCAATACCTGCTGATACTCCAGCATGTAGCAGCCCGCGAAAGCACCACCCGGCCCCTCGAGCTCCACCAGCAGAGTATAAGTGCCGCGAACCATCTTCAGGGGCAGCTTCCAAGACGTCACCGAGACGAAGTCGGAGCCCGCCGGCACGCGTGCGCAGTCGGCACCCTCGCAGAGTCCGCTCAGGAACTCCGACAGTGGCCTCTCCTGCAAGAGGGAGCGTATCAACGGCCGCCCGCTCTCCACAAGCCCACATGTGGGGCCACCTGTTGGCAGATGCTTCCGCCCCAGCAGGGGGAGATAGGGAAACGAACTCTATACACCGACGCTTTTCCCGACCCTGCGATGAGATTCGCACAGGAACGCGGATTCTGGTGTATACGGGACCCTGGTGTATACATGCTTCGTTGTTTTTGTCCAGGGAACGGATTAAAAACTATACACCACACCGCCCCGACGTTGTCCTCGACCCTCAAAAAATCCTGGGAATGAAAAACGGCCCACCACTGGTAATGGATACGTTCCAATGTCCGAGGAGAGGGCCAGTCTGGGAGGCGTGGTGGGGGTGGTAACTTGGCAGCGGTGGGCGCTTCCCCCGTGCCGATCCTGCTCGAAGACGGCCATGCAGTCCTCGGCCCGCCTGCAATAGAGGACGCTGTAATGCACCGTGAAGGCGGTCGCGTCGACCGGGCAGGGAGGAGCACGATGAGGGGGACGGGAGCATGAAGAATAATGAACAAGGGCTCCCGACTTCGCGCTTCGCGCTGCGCGAAACGCGAAGTGCGAATAACTTCGCGCTCTCGCGCCGCCTCCCAGGGGAGAAGAGGAGGATGAGGAGCCGAACCGCGAAGCGCGAATAACTTCGCGCCCTCGAGGGCGCCCTTGATGAAGGAGCGGGTGTAGAAGGAGGGCGACGTTCGGGAGAAGGAGAAGGAGGAAGGTGAAGGGGGAGTTCGAGGATGGCGACGACGACGATAACGATGTCGACGACGAGGAGGATGGGGACAATGAGAACCATGACGAGGCAGGAGGACGGTGAGGACGACGACGAGGACGCCGAGACGGGCGATGACAGAGCTCGAGGAGGACGTCGACGAGGACGATGCGGACACAGACTAAGGCGACGAGAAGGACAATGAGAATGGCTGCGCCCCTGCTTAGGGCTCAAACAATGTGAGCCAGAAAATGGAGTTCACTCCAAGCGTGTTTTTAAACAATAGTCCAGATCCAAACCGAAGAAAGTTCTACGAAATGAGTAGCGCCAGGAAAACGCCCAGGAACCAGTCCATATTCTTTTCTTACACGAAGCCTAGAGCACGTGAAAACTTGTGATTTTTCTAAACTTGTCTGATGGGTGTTCGAGGACAAATGAGATGGAGGAAAAGGCGAGGGAGCGTGACGGGCTGTGACTGCACGACCCGCCGTGCAACTGGCACGAAGTGGAGTGCCCCAAGGCTCACAACTGTGCTGCTGCTGCTGCCAAGATTTTAGACCAAGATTTTAGATTCGTCATGGCAGACCCTCATTTTCTCAGGCACTTCTGGGCGGGCCCGATGTGGCCCGTGTGAGCTTTGGAATGTTTCCTGCGCCTGCTCTGGACGCTGTGCTGCTCAAAACAACCTCCCGAACGCTCCCATGTGTACAAGAGGACGTCGAGTCGCCGGAAGACCGCTCCAAGAGATAGCCTCCAGAAGGCTCAAGAGGCCTTCAAGACGCCCCACGAGGCCTCCAAGAGAGCCTCGAAGGCACACTTCATTGATGTTCCCATGGCTTTTGCAAGATTTTGGTGTTTCCGCAGTTTCAGGTTTCCGATGCTCCAAGACGGCCCCAAAGGCTCACAAGATCGCCCCGAGCTGGCCCAACAAATCCCCTAGAGGGTGCCGACACTGCCGAAGAGGCCCCAAAGACGGCCCAAGAGGCTTTGAAGATGGCTCAAGAGGGCTCCAAGAACGCACACAAATGGCACCCAGAAAGGAGCACGAACCGGCATTTCGAGCTCTCCGAGGCCCAAGGAGGCCCCGAGAGGCTCCCCACGAGCCCCCCAAGAGGCCCCGAGAGGCCCCAAAACGCCCACAGGATGCCCCCCAGAAGCCGCCAAGATGCCTCCAAGAGGCCCCCAAGAGGCGTCAAAACTACACCCAGATGCCCCCGAGAGCCTTCCGAAGAGACCCCGACAAGCATCCATGAGGACTCTGACCCACAACCCAGGCACGGTGGCGGGATGGGCCCAAGGCCACGAGACATAGCAATTTGACGCTGGCATGCCTGGGCGCTCTTTACTAGCCTCGATCTCAGAATGTCAGGCTGGAATGGGAACGGGATCGGGAACTGGGCAACAATATTGGTACGAATGACATGCGTATGTACATATACACAGGAAAACGGCGCAGCGAAGTCTCAGAATGAAAAATCGACTCGGAGAGTGGGAAGCAAAAACACGATCATGATGAGGATGAAGATGATGGTTGCAAAAATGGGAGAAAGGGGGTGATGAGGGAGGAGAGGGGGGGTTATTTTGAGCTCCACGCCCAGCTCCTCCTGACAGCCACGCAACGCGGGGCTGAAGGCTGCAATGGAGGGGGGCGCAGCATCCCTGGGAGAAAGAAAACGCGCGACCACGGCGAGACCGTGTCTCAGTGGCCGTAAAAGGTCTGGTCAGTCCGAATCGTCAGATCTTCCTCCGACTGCAGGCATGGGCGGGGCGTCGTCCTCGTCGAGGGCCAGTGCAGCACGCGCACGCCTGACCTGGGCAGCACCTGAGGGGGCTCCCTCATCGGACCCTCGGCCGACAGCTGGCAGTACGGGGCCCTCCCACACCACTTGATCAATGGGCGGAGGGGCCGAGGAACTGACACGATCTCGCCGGCAGCCACGGGCAAGACCGAATGGAAAACACTCGACCAAACTCTCGGTGCACACCTTGCCACCAAATACGCTACTTAAAGCTTGGATGCAGGCTTTGCAGAGATAGCCCCATCCGGATGTAGCAGAGCGGCCAGGAGGGGGGAGCGCGCACTTCTTGCCAAGGCTCCTACCCGGACCACCGCTACTGTACCACTTGCAACAGTTGCATACGAAGAGGGAGGAGTCATCGGAGCAAGACAAGGCATGGTGCTCAAGCGCATCTTGGTGGGAAGCAGACAGAGGCGAGCAGGAATCTGGAGGTGGCGTCTCAAAAGTACAACGACCTCACAAACAGTGGCTGCATCTCCAGATACCCATTCATCTCTCCCACGTGTGGCCTAGAGTAGCGGCCGAGGCTGGAGCGTGCTGCCTTCTCTCAACCGGCGACAGGTCCACATCTGGCCACAGGTGCAAAACGTGCTTCGCGAAATGGGTCCTATAACGGGCGTGCTTGTCAGCTGCCACCAGCAGCACAGAGTCCGAGAATTGCAAGCTCGGGGCTAGCTTGGCTCAAGCACCAGCATGGGCTCCTAGCCGTCGCCAGCGCCATTATGTTCCGGCCCCTTTCTGATCGAATTCTCAGCGGGCGGCAATCTGAACGCAAGACGACGGAGGCTCACAGCCTTGACCATACAACTGCAAGCCAGCATACATAAGCTTGCCAGACTACTGTTCCACGTTGGGCGCCAGGCCTGTTGGACCACAGTGCCTCCACATGAACACACCGTGCGCTTTGCCAAGGAGGGCGCGCGGGCCCACGTGAAGCAACTGAGCTCCGCACGCGGGGACCACGGGGGACACGGGGCCCAACTTAAGGCCAAAAGCTCGGCCACCAAATCGCCACTGGCATCAACTTGCACGCCGCTGCAGGCAGCCTCTGGAAAGCTCTCTGGCGGGGTGCCGCGTGCAACTGCCGTCCACAAAGAGGTCGCCCCAAAACACCTCCCCTGGGACATGCCCATCACGATGGATCATATTTCGAAGGTGACGCACAAGGCACGGACCATCCGACTCTGAGCACGGGCACGCATAGAAGCCGGTGGGGTGGCGGAGAGCCCCAGATATAAAAACAAAGACCTCGCCGCCATCTTCCGAAACCTGAGTTTCAAGGGCCGCGGCACTGGTCGACGGATCTACCTACTCGGACCAAAAGGCAACAACAGCCTCGTGTTGGCAGGTCCATAGCCAGCGGGAGATGGTGTCGAGAGCTCCACAGAGAAGGACAACAACCATCGACCAGATGCCCCGAGAGTTGGGCCCTGTGAAGAAAGCGTCCGTAGAAGCCCTGATGCGGGCCTTCTGGACGGCCGTGCGTTTTGTGCTATGCAAGACTTCATGGGGGTCATCATGACAGACGCGAGGCAACGCGCACAGCTTCTCAGCCGAACCCTCTCCAGAATCCTGGCATGCCCGTATTTGGCCCAAATCGAAACCAAAGCAGGGGATAAAATGTAAAGTGCAAAGAAGGATGACGTAGCCACGATCATCCTGCAATATAATAAACCCGCCCATCCGCTGCCCAAGCCAGACAAAACTCACCAGAAGAGCCGGCACCGGGCCCGGGACCTTCCTCCACAAGCAGAAGGCGAGGGGAACAAACAGACTGCCAGGCCTGACTGAAGACAGTGCGAGAGAGGGCCCCGTGTTAGGTCCCCGTAAGGTTGAGCGCTATCTCTTTAGACCAACGCACCATGGAAGCTGTCGCCGCCCGCCAAACAGCAGCGCCGACGTGGTGAGTGGGCTCAAGTTAGAGGCAGGTCGTCCCGCCGAAAAAGCGCAAGAGGGCCCGCGGGGAAAACGCGAAGGTCCTGGGACCTCGAGAGCGGTCAGTTCTGTCGCTTGAACCTCTCGATATCCCTGCAAATATTAGCTGGCCCCCCTATGAGCTTAGCTCATAAGCCCGCCTGGGCGACGGCCTCGTCGGCGTGGCGGCACGCGCCGACGACAGGAGGTTGCCCTTCAGAGCCGACAGCAAGGAACCAACAGGGCCGTCGTCACCCGCGAAGAGGGGTGCCACGGCCGACGTGATCCTCGCAGACATCGGCGGCTGCTTCAGAGGAAAAAAAAACTGCATGCCAATAAGCTTTCGGAGGCCCGTGCGGGTTTCTTGGATCTGCGCTGGGACCCACTCCCTGGCTCGCGAAGCGCGCCAGAGGCGGAACTGGAGGCGCCGCAAGGGGGCGCAGCGCCGATCCAAGACATCCGCGCGGAGCTGCGGATGTTTATGTTCGTGCCGTTGCTTCTGTCTTCCATGCTTAGCCACGAGAGGCGGGTGCAGGAGGTAGCCAGGGACGCCAATGACAGTGGAGGCCGAAAAGATGGCTATTATGGGCTCGGCAGCCGCTGTGCCAGCGCCAGGGTGCACGTTGACGGCGCGCAGCTCATCGCCGTTGGACTGCGTGGACGAGGGCAAATCGCTGGAATTCGCCGGCCCAACGGGCCAGAGGCGTGCTAAAATCTCCGGCAACTGGTTAACAATATTTCTAGTTCGCGCGCGCGGAGCGGCCCCTGGAGGTCCCCCGTGAAAAAATGAAGCCCCAGGGGTCCGTTCCAGTTCCCGTTCCCGTTCCCGTTCCCGCTTCCTTTCCCGTTCTCTCGCCCTCTCTCTCTCTCTCTCTCTCTATCTCTCTCTCTCTCTCTCTCTCCCTCTCTCTCTCTCTCTCTCTCTCACGTCATATTTCTCTCTTTCTCTCGCTCTCTCCCTCTCTCTCTCTCTCGTCTCTCTCTCTCTCTCTCTCTCTCTCTCTCTCTCGTCCTCTCTCTCTCTCTGTCTCTCTCGTCCTCTCTCTCTCTCTCTCTTTCGCCCTCTCTCTGTCTCTTTCCGTCCACCCTGAAGGGGGGTCAAGAGGGAGGCTCCAGAAAGGCCGCGGACGCTTGGAGGGTTGTTGGGCTCTCCTGCGAGGCCTCTGGGGGGCCTCTCGGAAACATGTTTCAGGTCTCTTGGGGCCCGTAGGGGTCTTCTTGGGGACGTCAGGGGGGGACTTGGGGGTCTCCTGGGACTCTGAAGGTCTCTGTCAGACGCCTACGGCGAATCACCGCCGCCCCCTGCCTTTTGGAAGCGCCGATGCGGCCAAACGTTACGGCGAAGTGTGGCCCAGGTGTTGGACCAGGTGTTCCCCCAGCCGTCGTTGAAAACCTGGGGGGCAACAGTCGGGGGAGGAAGGTGGGGGAGGAGCAGGATAGAGGGGGATGATGGTGATGATGACGGAGAGGCTAATGAGATGAGGAGGGGGGGGAGACCTCTTGGAGGCCTTTCGGGGTTTCCTGCGGGTCTTTGGAGGCCTCTTGGAGCCATCTGGAATCCTTTTCGGGCAATCTTGGCTGTCTTGGAGGGCATCTTCGATCGCCTCGGGGGCCATGCAGGGCCGTCCTGGCAGATTTCGACTGCATGCCGGCCGTCCTGGAGGCCTCACTGGACCATCTTAGCATGCTTGAGTGCTAATCTTGGAGGCAATCTTATCTGTCCAGGAGGGCATATTGGCCGTCGTGGAGGCCATCCCGAACCTAGCCCAGTTCACCCATCCACAACTTTGCCCACCCAGCCATGGTTCTGTTAATGCACTCGTACATGTCCAACTGCCTGCGGCAGTTCCCGCAACCGTGATGATGAAAATGATGACGACGACGACGACGATGACGATGACGACGACGATGATGCTGATGATGATGACGACGACGACGACGATGATGATGATGATGACGATGAAGACGATGATCGTCGGGACATCGTGGGAAGCCTCTCGGGGGCCCGTTGGAGGCAATTTTGAAGCCTCCTGCATGCAGTCCGGGGGGCCTCTTGGGAGCCGTTTTGGGCTTTGGGGGGTTTCTGGGGGGCCTCTTGGGGACCACTTGGGAGCCTCATGGGGCTGATTGGAGGCCTCTTGGGGCCTCCTGGAGAAACCCAACCAGACAGCACTTGGCATTCTAGCACGCCTCAACGTGCCAGGCGGCACGGTGGCGGATACAGCCCAGGGGCACCAGACCATTCCGTAGCCATTGTGGCTCAAGTTTTGACTGTGCACTCCTTTTATTTGAGAGGATACTTGCAAAGGGTAACTTGTGCGGGCCCTGTGCTGGGCTCTTTGATGGCACTCTTAGACGCAAGCGCAGGTGCAGTCTGTAGGGCGCACGGAGTCCGAGAGCGCAAATAATGTGAAACTCGAGATTCTCGATTTTGAACAGAATACTGTGGATCCAAATGTTTCTCCGGAATACACGACTTCTTGTTGCGCTCTGTTCATTGCAAAGGAAATTGCAGAGTTCAATGGGTGTCAGAACTTGTTCGGACGAGCAAGCAACCTCTGGAGGGATCGCCCTTTTGGCTTGCAGGAGGACTTGGGCTGGACTTGGCGACGGAAATGGCGCTCTTCCACAAGATCTCTTGGGGGAGAAGGTTTATCGACTGACCTGGCAACCGTGCTGTGCGCGGAGGAACTCATGGAACACCTTTTTATTCACCCCCCCCGTTCAGAGTTGCGTTCACGGCTCGAAGCAGACGACTAAAGCTGTGTCTAACACATTCGGCATTCCTGTCGGACGCCAAGGTGTTTGTGCTGGGTTATTACAGGCATTCGTGCGGTCAAGAGGGCATGTGCGTGGCAATGACTGAAAGGGTACACTTCGTTGCTTTGTCTCACTGGGTATTCAATGTGTTCTTGCCTCTTTCGGGATGCGCAGTTGACCACCTCGACCTGTGTTTTCATGAAGTGAAGGCGCACGCCAATAGCGCCGAGAGCACCCCCAACCAAGACGCGTCAGGCTCGGCGGCCATTGGTGGCGCAGTGCCGAGCGCTAGCCAGGATGTCCGCGGAAGCCATCTATACACCACCACCGTGCCTGGCCAGGGCCATCCTGGACCCTGGCATGGTGCACGCGCCCTCCTGGCGAGGCCAGGGGAGTATATGCGCCATTCTGGGGCCCAAGATGGCCCTGGCCAGGCGCGGTGGTGGTGTATATAGATTGCTTCCGCGCAAGGATGATGCCGACACCACTGACGCGGCTGCCAATGTCTTCCAGATGCGCCGTATACGTGTCAAATCGGGACGCCATTTTCGGGCCGGGCGAAAGGGGGGGACAGCAAAGGGGGGGTTCGAGAATCAACTCACGTAGCTGATTTTCCAGGCGCCTCCCAGCGCCGGGAAGCGCCCATGCATCGAGAAATGGGCCCCTCGGTGGGGCCGAAACCAGCTGCATGCAGCAAATTTCGTTACTCCCCCCCTTTCCCAATCCCCCCTTTCGTCCGGCCCGACATGTGTTTCCAGGGACACATCCCGCAGAAGGTGTCGTTGGGCGCATCACTGACGAGGCCACGGCCAAGGGGAATCTTCACCGAACGCGCGTGCGCTCTGAAGTGCCGGAGCATATCTCTCGCTGGCGCGCGAGGCCACGGCTCGGAGGGCGCGTGCTGCAGCGAGGTGGGAGCGCACAGGGCAGTTTTTTTTAACACATATGAGTTATACATATATATACACATGCATACATACATACATACATACATACATACATACATGCATACATACATATAAACACATACATACGTATATAACTATATGTATATGTATATGTATATATAGGAATTTAGATACATGGGTAATGTATGAATAAAGTAATGCATAACATCCCCCTTGTATGTATTACTCAGCCCTTTATTTTGAATACCTGGTCCGCACGCGGAGCATGTATTAACAACGGGACTGTATGCTATGCCCTTTTCAAGTCGTTCGCGAAGTTGAAACACCTGAGAGCCCATGTGGCAAAGCAGCACGAAAGCGGTATGAAGCACCCGACCCGTAACTTCGTCCACTTTTCTCGGGACCTGTTCGGCTCTTGCGCGTCCAAGCCGGCCCCGTTGGGATCTTCTGAAGCCAGGGGGAGCCCGTGGAGTTTGTCTACGCGCGCACAACGGTTGGAGGGCTTTGGTGCGGGAGCGCCCCTTGGCCGACACCGCGCGCATGGTGCGACCCTGGAACACAGGCGTCAATCGTCCTGAAGCATGGAATTGGGGATGGTACCGCGAAGATTTCCGATCTTTGATCACCGACAAGGGTGGGCGAATGCTGTTTCAGAATCGTCCTGGGCATGTGTGCGCGGCGCGCATCACTTCGAATAAAACTGTCTCTCAGGGGTATATCCGTGCTAACCAGCTGCCTGCGGCAAGTCCCGCCACCGTGCCAGTCGAGCCCCTTGAGGGGCGGCTCTTCAAATTGCAGCGGTTATGCTGATGTCAATGACAATGTTGCCGTTGATGATGGCGACGATGACGATGACGACGACGACGACGACGGCCACGACGACGACGACGACGACGACGACGACCATGACGACGACGACGACCCCTGCCGGACAGCACTTGGCATTCTTCCACGCCTCAATGTGCCAAAGAACACGGTGGCGGATTGCGCCTGCCGCGCTCCTGAGCGAGGGGGGACCGAAGCTCATTCGTGAGAAAATTGGTTGGAAAGCATCGCAGAGGTCTCTGGCCGATGGCCTCGCGGAAACCCTCCCAGGTCCAGCGTTCATCGGTGATCTGCTTCATCGCATTTCCATGGGGAGACCGTCGCTGTAATGCTTCACGGCACGCGCGAGATATTCGACGAGTTCACCGACTTGAATGTTGACGCCACGGTCAACACTATGCAATCCATCAGCGGGAATGTTCCCGAAGGGAAGCAGGGGGGTCGCTTGGCTGACCAGGGGCGCCACTGCCTGACTACGAAAGGACGCACGGGGCCCGTTCTTGCCATCGAGCCCACTCGCGCGGAGGATTTCGCCGAGCTGCTGCGAGGGGTGGAAATCGCCGCGCCGCCCAATTTTCGCGGGCGGGTGCTGTCGGTGCGCACAGATAACCCCAAAAAGCTTCTCTCGGATACTGGAAAGCCC